TCCGCCGGCAACGCGATATCACGTGATCGACATGACGCCGGCGGGAGGAGATGCGAGATGCGAGATGCCAGCTAGCTCGAGACAGCGCAGGCACAGCGGCTGGGGGGCCGGGGACGGGGAGGCAGCTGGACGGAGGGCCAGGCAGCAGAGCGCGGGCGAACTACCCTGGATCCTGGCTCGTGAGACAGGCAGCAGGGGCAGAGGCAACGAGGGAGCGAGGAAAAAAGCCCCCCAACGCCCGAGTCAGGCAGATGATACGCCGATTTCTGTGGCCTGCAGCGTCGCCCGGCCGAGCTGGCTGCCTCGCTGCCAGGTCAGACAGCGAAGGCCGGAGCAAACGAGCCGTTCTAGAAAGGTTCGATAGTTAACTATGTCGAGAGAAAAGCTGCTGCTGGCCGGTTTGCATGCGTGGCGGCGGATTGGCCGGCTGAGATCGTACAGTTGCCATTGCCATGCTGCGCCGCATCGAGGACAGCCGTGGCTAGGTCTCTACCCCCTTCTCCTCCTCCTCCTCCTCCTCCTCCTCCTCTTCGTCTCCCTGGCTAGTTACCACCGGTTACTATACTCTGCTCCGCCAAAATATCTTCCGCTTTGCCCCGTTCACGCTAATACTGGAGCTCTAGGCCGTCGATTACCTATTGCTCTCCAGGCAGTTCTAGGCAAGAAGTTGACTGGCTGCCTGAAGATGGAGAATTAAAAAGCTTTGACCGGTTCATAGAAATGGAGGATTAACTATCGTTGTATCCTACCCCGGATATTAACACGTTTAATATACCAAACAAGAGAGTGTCCGTACATGTTGTATGGGGCAGCAGTCCTCTTCCCTCCCCATAATGGATGGGTATATTTTTATCCTCAGCCAACAGGTTATTGCTGTCCAATCTGCCCTTTCACCGTCTCTGCAGAATGAAAAATTGAAGTAGCCAGTGTTTATTTTCATTTTCATTCTTTTTTTTTATTCTATTGATTTTCAATTTGCATTTCCAACCTCGCAATGGGTTGTTTCCTGTTGGGTGTCTCCTGAAGAAATGCTTCAGTTGATCTTCTGCCAACATATTGGTATTTGGCGACTTCTCACAATCCAGTTCCATCAACCTCTTGGGCAACTACCGCAGCTATGGTCAGTCCGCTTTGCACAGGAGGCCTTCTAGGACATCTCATTTTGGACATGGCTGTTCTCGAGAGAGGTGGGGAAAGAAGATTAAAGCAAAACAACTGGACTGTTTGCCTAAAACTGTTGGCATGCATACATGTGGTGTATTTTTATCATGTAGAAGCCCCGTTATCCGCTGTCTCATGAGAGAACCCACCTCTTAGGCAACCACATCAGCCTGCCACATGGCCGGGAAGCCGCATTTTCTCTCCGAAAAACTTGAGCTCCATATCTCCTTGCTGACACAGTCGAGCATGGACGTTTCGGCTGCTGAGGCTCATATCTCAGAACTGAGAGGCTGCCAGTGAGCGAAACAAATATGCAGTGCGACCCGATCTGCTTTCCCCTCTACCATTTCCATCTCAAGCCGAGATGCCATGGTAAGCCGCCGCCCGACAGACAGACCATAACGGCGGAGCAAGTTTGCCTCCCTGCTCTTGTACCCTTCGCTTGGCCTGAAGTTTGACCGCGCAGTACAAGTACCTGCAAGATAATGTAACAGCAAACCATTAGATCGGTTTCTGTATAATTTATCTTCAATTCCTTGAGAGGTTAAACCGTTGATTCGGGAAAGGCTGAACGTGTAGTGCTGTCATTTGAGGGAAGAAAAAAAAAAAAAAGATTAACCGGGCTGTGCTCGACGAGCCTCAACTCCCTACTAATTATAGGTACTGGACAACCCTGAATGCATGTTCCAAAGCCCATCCCGAGTTGTCTCTCGAGAAAGTTAAGCTTCACAACGACAAGGCAGAGGCATGGGCTGGTGCATCATCCTACTGCGAGGAATGTGTTCTCTATCTACCTGCTGTCTGGGCTAGGAATATTGCTAATCCAAGGTCTGATGATATGCATCCCGAAATAGGGTGATAACGCTCTCAGACACCCTCTGTGCATATGAACCTCGAAAGTCTATTGCTACCTAGAGATGTAGCTGCGCCAGGTTTTCTTTTTCTCGCTCTCTTCTTTCTTCTGCTCCGATGATCAGTATTGCTCACGAGGAAGGCTTTCGGGCAGTCCTAGTGCAAGAATGCTCGACAGGACAGGCGGTGTTGACTGGGGTTTGGAATACTGGGTACCGAGTCGCTCTATCCGATCTCCATTCTGGGGACGCTAATGTGCTGATGTGATAATAGGAGCGACGACCGCGACGGCCCTGCATGGCCTGAATTCCGTATGTGCATTGCCCTCAGCGCCATGGATACATGCGATTGACCCTGAAACCCCAAGTAGTGGCGGGCGGGGGGGGGGGGGGGGGGGGGGNTACAACAGGCTTCCTCAAAACATGCGGACAGTCTGACAGACTGGCCGACAGCAACAATGGCCTAAAGAACGCGAGCCGATGAAACCTACTAGAGCTCGGTTAAAGAGTCCAAGTCTGGGACCCTCTCATGCTCTCCCTTTTTGCACCTTGACGGACATTCATCCTTTTTCTCTCACCCGAAGGCGTTGATCATCTCTGACCCTGCCTCTTTCCCACCCACATTCCACAACGTCGGGTTTTTACAATAAAGGGTCTGCTGCTGCTGATGTTGTGAGAGAGTTTGGGGTCCGTTTCCATTGCCTCGGGAACAGTTTGCTGCAAGAGAAACCAAATGTGACCCATGTTTAGGGGGAGGAGCTGAATTGATATTGGGCCTGACTGGTCCGTATTGTATCCCCATCTTCAAGGCAAAGGGGAAGGAGATGGTCGAGGGCCCAAACCCGACAGCTTGGGTATGATGCCTAACATGCAGTGCAGTATTACCTGCTTTGTCACCCTTAACGAGGGCAGAACGAACGAGCAGGCCGATATCTTAGATTTGAGTGACCTCTTGACACTTTTCGACCCCCAAAACTTAAGTTTCCAACATGCAGGTTGACGCCTGGACGGTGTTATCGCTCTTTTCTTGACCCTTTAGCACCACCACCGGCTGTCGATATCGCGATGAACCGAGAGTTAAAGAGAAAGAAGAAAGGGAACTTTCATCGGGATACATATTCTCTGGTTCCCTGGCTCCGAGGCGGAGTCTTCGAACCCGTCCCAGAGCAACAAAGAATGGAATCTCAAAAGAAAAAAAAAGACATGGCTTCGAGTGTGAATCGCATGCAACTTAGCCAATTCTTAGGCCCCCGCCAAGTGAGATATTTATCACCTAATAATTAAGCTAGTGAACCTGCACCCCTGGCCTTTTCCCCCGGCATAGCGAGTAGCAGGCAGCATCGTGGCCGTTTTTGGTGCTGGGCAGGTGTGTTGTGCATGTGTCGCTCCTCAATTCCAGCAAGAAGGCCACGAGCAGCTCCTTACACTATCATTAATAATGTAAATGAGCATAAAGCTCATACATTAGTCCAGATCCTTGAGCACCGGCTTCGTGTACGTGTGGTGTGGTCGGTATACTACTCCATCCTCCTCCATTATCCTCTCTATGCAACTGGAATAACTTTTATATACGTCAGATCTTAGATCTATGACTGTATTTCCTTATTTATCCGTGTGTACAGGTATAGTGTGCTCAGTCAGCTCCCTGCAGTATCATGCTGGCCTCCAACGTGTTGATAACTGAATAATCCCAGCCTGTGGATTGATGTGACGCAGGCTTGATTCTCAGCCCCATCTGCACTTCGTGAACCCGGCGGCTAGCCAACCCGAATCACACCGAACCCCCTTATACGGTGAACCATCTGTGCTAGGTATGCTTCTAGGGCTTCGGTACCAGAAGGTACGAGGGCGATCAACTCCCATCTCCACGAACGAGCTAGTTAAGATGCTTGACTTTTAAATCCCGCTCGCCGCAAAGCATCCCTCCAGCCCTTGTGGAAAGCTACACACGAGAAAAGTACCTATCCACGGGCTTCTCCGTCGGGAAATACATCGTTGTCACCGCATTAGCTTTACATGGCTCTCTGCTCGGGCAGTGGTCAATCCAGTCTTCTGGTAAAGCATGCCCGGGGGGGCTGTTACTATCCCCGATGGCGGGAGGAATCAGCGAGTCCTCTTCGCTTCCTTCTTTTTTCTCGACGCTCGCTTGACCAACTAGTTAGCTAGCTAGTCAGGCCAGTCAGTAATAATAATCCCCCCCAAATACGACGGATTTGAACATGCATCTGTCACCTCATGCATGTTCATGCATGTTGTGTTGCGTAGGGCCAGGATAGTGACGTACTTACTCTCCACAGATTGGCTGGCAACAAGCACCCAGCACGCGTTCCGGGAAATTAGTATATAAATATATGTGGGAGTCGACTAATTAACAAGTAGTCCATTCCCATAGCACCATCCATGGCTCTGGAAATCATCTGGCGGGCGTTTTTGGTCGGACCTATTCTTTCTTCGGAAGGTGTATGGCTAGTCGCAAGATACCAACCTTCTTGCAGTACGGAGTCCTCACCCCCTGGTCCACAGATCATCAGGAACCGCATGGCTAGCCGTTACAAGAGAAGTACAATCCACTAAGCCATGCGAAAGGTTTGCTTTGGCCTCTTTCTCTGTTTTCAATACTCGCGGAAGGCCTTGTTTCCGGTAGAATCAATTCTGTATATCTGTATACAGTTTATGCCCGGCGGTCATGTTATTTCGCTCCTTAATGGAATTTATGCAGCCTAGCCGAATTATCCGGCTTGTATAACTAACTACAAGATAAGGCTGTAACCTGAAGTGTGGATGTACGTACGGAGTATAGTAGCAGGATTTCGAGCAGTAAGTCTATAAAGGATGAAAGAATGATCCGCGCACCTGCGGGCAAAATTCTTGAAACGAGATTAATATAATTTCAAATTGAACTGCACATCTTTTATATTAACTATGTATACAATGTTTTTCTTCCTTAGAACGACTAGCAGAGCAAGAAACACGATAGGAAAAAAGAAACATATGCAAGATACATGGTGGGAGAGCATATATATTGTTTGTTTGAAGTAAACAAGGATAGAATGAGCAGGAGTGTACGTCAACTTATGATCATTAAGCTCATCAACGTAAGATAAATGGAGAAGTGAGGAGAAAAAGGACTAAACCTCATAGATGAAGGGTATATTTAAAGAGAATATGCAGTGTATCCAGCCACCAGTAGGGTTATCCTGAGAAAAATATATAGTAAAAGGGAGAAGATGGCGAAGGGAAAAACATCGTAGCGGAACTTCACATCACAGGCCTGCTCTTAATCCTTCGAGGAGCCCATACTTCTCTTTCAACAGTCAGAAGTGAAGAGACGGCACATTTACGCACGGCGCTTTGAGTAAATTGCTGAGCACCTGGCTCTGTAACTCGAGGTTGTGGTGGTTCGTCGGCTGCACGACGGAGATCACTTGTGCATTGCCCTGCTAGCGGGTGAGACCCACGACGATAAACATCTCTAAGGAGACCCCTTGAGGGAATTAAGGGGGCCGGACCTGGTCCCGGGCTAGGGCTGGGTGTGGGTAAGGGGATCGATCGGATTGGTGGTAAAGTTATATCGTGAGATGGATCAGATATATTAGGCTGTGGTAATGCGGCTTGGAAAGGATGATTTACAACAGCGTTGGTGGTAGAAAGGGGCGGAAATGAGTATCTGTGGGTGTATGGTATA